CCCACTATGGACAGGACCAATGTCATATACAAGATTCCCTGCAAAGACTGTGACAAACATTACATTGGACAGACAGGAAGGAAATTAGCCACAAGAGTACGTGACTGTCAACTGGCAACAAAAAGGCTCGACCAATAGTCGCTTATCTCAATCCACATGGATACGGAAAGTCACCAGTTCAATTGGGACAACACCATAATCCTGGGACAGGCGAAGCAGAGACAAGCACGGGAATTCCTGGAAGCCTGGTTCTCCACTAAAAGCCGTCAATAAACACACAGAGCTAGACCCCATATACACTCCATTACAGAGGGAAACCAGAAGTGAGGTAACCCAGCTCAACGGACACCAGAATTTAAATAATAGGCAGGAAAATACCACGGCGATTCATCGAAGGCTGCACTGATTACGTTACCCAGCAGTGTAATGAAAGGCCTGCGGAACAACGAACCAACTTGGCAAGCCAAACAACCACAGCATCCACAACCTGAGCTACAAATCTACTGTAAAACCTTTGACTTAGACAATGGTTGTGAGTGTACTTAAACTAATTTGTGGATGAAGGCAGTTGGTGAGGATGAAAGAGTCGACAGAGGGATACAGACAGGTTACGTGAGTGGGCAAAAAGACTTGGTAGATGAAATCTGATGTGGGAAAATGAGATTGTGTGTACTTTGCCAGGAAGAATAGGATCTGACTATCATTTAAGTGGAGAAAGCTGCAGCACAAAGGGATTTTACGTTCTTGTGCATAAATAACAAGTTAGCATACAATTTCATCCAGTACCAGGTGAGACTAATGAAATATCGGCCGTTCATTCAAAGGGAATGAAGTATAAAACTAGGCAAGTGTTGCTAAAAGTACACCGGGTATTCTAACCTCGGTGGTGGATAAACTGTTTGGAAACAAATCTGAAGGACAGAATCAATCTGTACTTGGAGAGGTAGGGATTAACCAAAAATAGTCAGCATGGTTTTGTTAAGGGGAGGTCCTATCTGACCAACTTTTCAAAGAAATAACCAAGTGTGCAGATGAAGGCAACACATTCGATACAATCTACTTGGATTTCAACAAGTCTTTTGATTAGATAACAAAAGAAAGAGCCCGTGGGATTCAAGGAAATTTGGCAAATTGGTTGGGTGGCAGGAAGCAGAGGGTGATGATCGAGGAGTGTTTTTGTGACTGGCAGTCTGTAGAGTGGGGTTTTGTCCATTGGGATCCTTGCTGTTTGAGGTGTGTGTATATATAAACAATAGATATGAATGTAGGAGGGGTGATCAGTAGGTTCACGGATGACACGGGAAATGATGAATGGTAAATAGTGGGAAGGATAGCTTTAGATTATAGGACGATTATAGGTGGGCTGATCAGTGGTACTTGGAATTGAATCTGAATGTGTGAGGTCATGTTACTTCAGCAACGCAAGAGAATAACAACGAACAGCAGGATCCTGGTAGGCACTGAAAATCCGAGGGATCGTGGTGTGCATGTCCCACAGATCCCTTTTTAAGGTAGCAGGACAGCTAGATAAATTGTTTAAGGCGTTTGGTATACTTGACCTAATTAGTCGAGGCATAGAGTTTTTAAGCAGGGAAATGATGCTGGAATTATGTAAACCGATGGTTAGGCCACAGCTAGAGTATTGCGTGCAGTCTTGGAATCCACGTTATAGGACAAATGTGATTGTGCTGGAGAGATTGCAGAAGAAATTTACCAGAATGTTTCCTGGAGTAGAAGAGAAAGATAAAAGTTGTTTTCCTTGGAGCAGAGGAGACTGAAGAGAACATGATTGAAACGTATAAAATTGAGGGGCACAGACAGTCCAGACAGGAAGAAATGTTATCCCTTGAAGGAGGGATCAATGACAGTGAGGGTCATAAAATTAAGGTAAGGGCAGAGGCTTAGAGGGGATATGAGGGGAAAAAAATTACCCAGAGGGTAGTGGGAATCTGGAACTTGCTGCCTGTGAAGGTGGTAGAGGCAGAAACCCTCACTACATCGCAATACTTCTGAAATGTTCACTTACAATGCTAAGGTATAAGAGACTAGGAGCCAGGTGCTGTAATTGGGTTAGAATAGTTAGGTTGTTTTTGACTGGTGCAAGCTTGATGGGCCTTTTTCCTGTGTAGGATCTCCATGGCTCTGATTCTAAGGCACGAGTTTGATCCTACCCAGAGTACTGTAACCATTTTTGCCCCCTTTATCTAAGGAAACATATTCTTGTAGTGGAGGCAGTCCAGAGTTTCACTCAGTTGATTGGGTCAGAAGCCCTATAACATCAGGTTATAGTCCAACAGGTTTATTTAAAATCTCTCATTTTCAAAGCGCTGCTTCTGCATCAGGACCATACCCTAGTGTTGTGTGACTTCTGACTTTGTCTTCCCCAGTCCAGGTGATCAAGAGTATGGAAGGGTTTTCTTAGGAGCAGTTGAGGTCTGTATTCACTGCATTTTAGAAAAATGAGAGGGAGTCCTTACTGGAACATAAGATTTTTAGGGGTCTTGATGGGGTAGATGTGGAGAAGTTGTTTCCCCTTGTGGGTGAGCCGACATCCAGAGGAACGTTTTGGAATAAAAGGTTACCTGTGTTGGACAGGGATGAGGAGGATTTCTTTACTGCAGAAGGCTGTCAAGTTTGCTAAGAGTATTCAAGGCTGAGATAGACAAATTTTTAATCGACAAGGGGATGAAGTGTTATGGGAAAAACCAGGAAAGTAGAGTTGAGCGTTACCTGATCACTCATTTCAATCGTAGTTGAAGTAGACCTGATGGGCTGAATAGCCTATTTCTTCTGCTGCTGCGATATTTTGTAGTTGTAGTCTAAAAGGTATGGAAATAGATAAGATACAGGCAAACCAGATCTAATTTATACTCTGGAGAGTGCTTAAGGAGCTGAAATGCTAATTCCTGTTTGTCAGCTAAACAGTGCAACATTAGACCCTTGTTCCCTTCCTCGCATGCAGTGCGAGTCAGCTGCCCTATGACTCACCATTACTTAGACAAACTGTGACAGAGTGGGAATCCCTTCCTCAATTTGTTGTGGGTTTTGTAATTGAGTTGTCAGTTTGGAGACCAGTAAACACTTACTGAAGCATTAATTATAATCTCTTGTAGCTTTTTTTCAACAGCATATTAGTATTACTCTGTTTCTTTTGCTAGAATTTGTGGTTTAGGTAGTTTCTTTTATATTAAAGAAAGCAATCTGTAATGAACACAGGCTCCCCGTGCCCTTGGCTTTGGACACTGATTGACAGACGTTGCAGATTCTCCACTGCCACCTCCCATGCAGATGAGCTAATTCAGCACTGATCAAGAGCCACATCTAGGGCCATCTGTCCTGCATGAGTCAGTACTGTACCATGATGCACGTAACCAGAATGCCATCTGAGAAGCTCATGTTGCTGGGGTTGTGCAAAGCTTTTCAAGGATACTATCTCCTCCTGAGTAGCTTGTTTAAAATAATACTGACTTGTACCCAAATATATAGCCATGTAGAATCATAGAATCCCTACAGTGTGGAAGCAGGCCATTCAGCCTGTCATGTTTGCACCTGCCCTCTAAAGAGCATTCTACCTAGATTTTGCCCCCTACTCTATCCATGTAACACTGCATTTCCCATGGCAGTTCCACCTAGCCTGTACATCCCTGGACACTGGGCAACTTAGCATAACCAATCCACCTAACTTGACTGTGGGAGGAAACCGGGGCACTCTAGACTCTAGTGAGACAGTCATTTGAGGGTGGAATTGAACCCAAGTCCCTGCTGCTGTATGGTAGCAGTGCTAGCCACCACGGCACCTAGTGTTCTAATCAATTTGGACGTTGAGTGCTGCAGTGACAGTAATTGGCTGAAGTACATGCTACATGGTGAGATTTAAGAATGTATAAAAGCTGGATTATGCTGAGATCCTACAGCAAAAATAGTTTGTAGATTTCCAAGTCAAAAATACTTACTTTTAGCCTTGTTCAAGGCATGTGAGACTCCATATCTTACCTTTACTCCAAGGGTGCACTTGCAGCTCTTTGCCAGAGCCTGCCCCTTCTTTTGGATTGCTGGGATTTGTAAAGCTCGTACATTGTCGTAGTTGATAAGTTCTCTGCACAAAGTTCTCCGATTATAGTGCAGAATTACCTACTATCTCGAGATGTCCATGATCAAAGTTAAGATGCTGTAATTATTTCATTATCATAGATTCCATCAAGAAATCTGTCAATAAAAAAATTCAGTAATGGAACAAAGAGTTTGAAACTGAATTTAAAAACTGTTGATTTAATTTGCAACTTTTCAGACTAAAGAAAAGACTTGTTTAAAAATGCCTTTCACAACTTAGGCTACAAAGCACTTTGAATTCTCGGAGTCATTTTGAACGCTCATTAGTGTTGTGATATTAGTAAGCAATGCATACAGTTTGTGAATAGTAGAGTCCCACAAACAACATTGACTAAATGTGCTGAGCAATAAATGTTGGCCTTGACACTAGGTGAGCTCTGACCTTCAAATATGGGATCTTTTATATCAGCACGTGAGGCTTTAACATCTCGCCTATGAAATCACACTTCTGACATTGCAGCTTTCTCTCTGCATTGCACCTGCAGTGAGAGTCTGGATTATGTGCTTGTTTTGTTACGTTTTGAAGGGTTGATGCTCAAGATAGAGGAGATTTGATTTCCCTAGATTACTTTTTATTGTCTTTTTGGGTATGAATGAACATGGAGGTAGTGGTGGAAGAGAGTACAGTTTTGTCATTTAAGTAATATTTAGACAGGTATATGGGTGGGAAAGGTATGAGGGCTATGTTCCAAATGCAAGCAAATGGGGCTAGATTAATTGTGAAAACGGGTCAGCATGTCCATGCTGTAAAGTTCTATGATTCTATAAGGAATAGGAATAAGTGAAAGCCATATGAACTCTCAAATTGACTCTGCCAAAGGTGTGTGAGCTTATTGACAGCATCAAAACTAATCCATGTCTTGTAATTTTTACCTCTCCTTATTTGGCAGGTACTACAGAGGCACGCATGGGGTTATAGTAGTATATGATGTGACCAGTGCAGAATCCTTTGTAAACGTCAAGCGATGGTTGCATGAAATAAACCAGAACTGTGATGATGTGTGTCGGATACTAGGTATGTATAAAGTTGCCACTGCATCTCAGTCTCTCATCTGGAGATTACCAGATGATTCAGCCCTTGCCTTGGCCCACCAATCCTATTCCCAATCCTTCAAGTAATGAGTGTTTTGCCATTTATCCTTCACTCTTGAGCAGCATTCCCTTTTAAGTTGTGTGGGAGCACGGCCACATGTTAATCTAAAGTTTATATTCAAGTTCAGACTTGTTATAACATACCTCTGGTGCGGTTAGGACTTGAACACAGGCATTCTGGCCCAGAGATAGGGACACTGCCATGACACGAGTCCTCAATTCAGAATAAATGCAGGGGACAAACAAGCTATAATTGATCAATGGTCCCTTTTTAAAGATATGCACACTTGCAGGTGAACAAGAATCTTTAACAAAACGGTGCAGTACCCCCAAAAAAGGGCATGTCAACATGAATTGGCAAATCAGCATCAGTTTTCCAACCGCTCTAAACGGTCTGGGCAACAACACCATAAAGATAGCCATGAATCTACAGCTGTACATGTCCATTGTTATTCTAACTGTAAATTATGCTAGTGAGATATAAAGAGAACAGCAGAAATGTCAAAGGTGCTTCAACCAGCACTGTGTATGCAATACTTTGGGCAGCACTTGGACAGACACCTACAAGGACATGCTGAGGAACGGGCAGAGGTGCTGACACAATATTTTGAAAGACCAACAGATGGCAAGACAGATCTTGTATCCAGGGTGAATGCTGTGCCAGACAGTGACAGTTGAATGGTCACTACCAGATGGGAAAAGATGACAGTGTTGACCAAAGAAGACGTTAAGTATATTTTAAGGAAAAGCTTCAAGAGATGGACATCACCTTGACTATCTTGACAGTGTTGGTTGCCCAGACCACTTTGAGCCTTTGGAAAACCAGTGCTGGTTTGTTGATTCTGTGGATGCTGGTTTCTACAATTCCAGAGCTGAAGATGTAGCTCTCTAGATAGGGGAAGGAATTGACGCCTTTAGTCTATGCCCCGGAGATGATGGAAAGGCTTTATTGCAACCCAGTCATCAGTGTCTTGGTCTTCTTGTGGCTGATGCGTAGACCAAATTTGGTGCCACTACTCTCCCCTTCGAATAAGTGTGATTTGTCAGCCAGCAGGTTGATGGTCATCTGCAAAACCCAGGCCTGTCAACTTGTGGAATTGGCACAGTATGCCTAAACTTGCACCCATCATTACCTTTATAACTCAAATATAAATTTGCTGTAATGGTGCCTTCATGATAAAATCAAGAACCAAAAAGAAAGGAGTGGGAGAGTGTGCATCTCTGATGCTGAAGGAGTCCTTGGTGCCCATGCTGGTCTGGACGCAGCAACTGAAATATGGGACAATGCTTCGAATATGTTCATACACTGCTCTGGGATGCCATACTACCTTGAGTTGTACCAAAGTAACAGTGATGGATGCTATTCAAAGCCTTCTAGAAATCAATTAAGTTAAGTGGCTTCTGAAACTTTAGGCTCTGGCCAATGATGCATAAAGGTCGACTCACAGCATGATTTGCCAAATCTGAAATCTGCCTGTTCCTCTCAAAGGTAACTGTCTGCTTCTGTTCTCGTTCTGTTGAGAGTATGCTGTGAAAGTTGGTTAGCTAGGTTGGCTAGATGTTTGGTTTGTGATGCAGATGATGCTAACGGAGTTGGTTCAATTCCTGCACTGGCTGAGGTCATTGTGAAGTTCCCACCTTCCCCCTCCCCCTCCCCCAGTCATCCATGTCAATGTCTTTTTAATCAGGTCTGTGAGTTCTATTAATAGTGGTTTAGTCGTGTTTCAGGAGATCTGCCTGTAGGCATCTTGTTCTTCAGGCTCTTGGTGGCTCTTGAGACGACTTTGGGCAGTTTCACCCAGGTTGACTTTCACTTTGTTGAGGTGCAGTCAGAGTTTGAGTATGGAGCTAGGGCTGGACTACGATCCTGTGTAGTATCTAGAACATAGAACATAGAACAGTACAGGCCCTTCGGCCCACGATGTTGTGCTGAACTTTTACCCTAAACCTAAGGTCTATCTAACTTCCACCCTGCCTTATACTATCATCGGTGTGCCTATCTAATTGCCACTTAAATGCCCCTAATGTGGCTGACTCCACTACCCTCTCCGGCAATGCATTCCACGCCCCGACCACTCTGAGTAAAGAACCTACCTCTGACATCTCCCCGATTTAAGTACCTCCACAGTTCCCTGAAAGCTGCCACCCAGGTGGATAGAGTTGTTAAGAAGGTGCATGGTGTGTTAGTTTTCATTAATAGAGGGATTGCCAAGAATCTTTCCGTTAACCCTGTATCCTGCTTTCAAGTTTGTCCTTCCAAAATGAATCCCCTCACACTTTTCATGGTTAAACTCCATCTGCCACTTCTCAGCCCAGCTCTGCATCTTATCAATGTCCCTTTGTAACCTAGAACCACCCTCTGCACTATCCCCAACTCGACCCACCTTCGTATCGTCCACGAACTTACTAATCCACCCTTCCACTCCTACATCCAAATCATTTACAAAAATCACAAATAGAGGACCCAGAACAGATCCTTGTGGTACGCCACTCTTAACTGAGCACCATGTTGAATATGTTCCGTCCACTACCACCCTTTGTCTTCTAAGGGTCAGCCAAATCTGCCACATTTCCCCCTATCCCATGCCTCCTTACTTTCTGTATGAGCCTACCATGGGGAACCTTATCAAACGCCTTACTTAAATCCATGTATACCACATCCACTGCTTCATCCACATGTTTGGTCACCTCTTCAAAAGACAAGGTTTGTGAGGCATGATCTACCCCTCTCAAATCCATGCTGACTATCACGAATCAAACTGTGCCTATCCAAGTGATCATAAATCCTATCTCTCAGAGGCCTTTCCAATAATTTGCCCACCACTGATGTAAGACTAACTGGCCTGTAATTTCTAGGGTTATCCCTATTCCCTTTTTTTTGAACAAGGGAATGACGTTTGCCTCTCTCCAATCTTCCGGCACTATACCCATGGACAGTGAGGACGAAAAGTTCGTTGCCAAAGGCCGTGCGATGTCTTCCCTCGCTTGGATAAATCCCATCAGGCCCAGGGGACTTCAAGTTCCTCAAAATTCCTAGTACATCTTCTTTACTAACATCAACCTCCTGTAGCCTACCAACCTGTTTCACACTGTCCTCCTCTACAACTGGGTCCCTCTCAGTTGTGAATACCGAAGAAAAGTATTCGTTAAGGACCTCCTATCTCTTTCGGCTCCATGCACAAATTCCCTCCAATCCTTGATCGGTCCTACCCTTTCTCTGGTGTTCTCCTTTCCTCACGTACGTGTAAAAAGCCTTGGAGTTAACCTTGGCAGATAGGATCAAGGAATTCTCATGCCCCCTTTTAGCTTTCCTAAGCCCTTTCTTCAGCTCCTTCCTGGCTAACTTGTATCCCTCTAGAGCCTTTTCCGATCCTTGTTTCCTAAACCTTATATAGAATTAGAATTAGAATCCCTACAGTGTGGAAACAGGCCCTTCGGCCCAACAAGTCCACACCGAACCTCAGAGCATCCCCCCCAGATCCATCACCCATGACCCATCACCTCCCTGAACACTACGGGCAATTTAGCATGGCCAATCCGCCTAACCTGCACATCTTTGGACTGTGGGAGGAAACCGGAGCACCCGGAGAAAACCCACACAGACACGGGGAGAATGTGCAAACTCCACACAGACAGTCGCCCGAGGCTGGAATCAAACCCAGGTCCCTGGCGCTGTGAGGCAGCAGTGCTAACCACTGTGCCACCGCGTCACCTTCTTCCTCTTAACCAGTCGTTCGACCTCTCTTGAGAACCAAGGCTCCCTCACTCGACCGTATCTTCCCTGCCTGCTAGGGACAAACATATCGAGTATGCATTCCTTAAACAATCTCCACATTTCAATAGTGCTCTTCCCTGACAGCATCTGTTCCCATTTTATGTTACCCAGTTCTTGCCTAACAGAACTATAATTACCCTTGCCCCAATTATAAACCTTACCCTGCTGTATCTACCTATCCTTTTTCATGACTATTGTAAAAGTAACAGAGTTATGATCGCTACCACCAAAATGCTCTCCTACCAACAGGTCTAACACTTGGTTCATTGCCAAGCACCAAATCCAAAGTGGCCTCTCCTCGTGTTGGTCTATCTACACAGTGTCAGGAATCCTTCCTGAACGCACTGGACAAAATCTGCTCCATTTAAACTATTACAACTAAAAAGTTTCCAATCAATATTTGGAAAGTTGAAGTCACCCATGACTACAACCCTGTGACTTCTGCACCTTTCCAGTATCTGCCTCCCAATCTTCTGCTCCACTTTTCTGCAACTATTAATCTTGAAGTTATTCCAACATTTTGCTACTTGTGCATCCCTGCCTTTTTTTAAAACTCATTGCCCATCTTTGTTTTTCTTCCCTGCAATTCTTCATAGCTTTATCCAGTTTTCTATACTTTTCTTTATTGTACTGTTTTTGCTTGATGTTATTTTCTTGGTCCCTCCTGTTCTTCACCTTGCTCTTATCAGTCAATTTCCATGTTGGGTCGGTGATCCATTAATCTTATTGGCTCTTCTCTGCTTGATTGGTAACTTGTGCTCTCTCCCTCTAATCCCCCTTTCTGGATAATTCTGTACTGTACCTAATATTGTCCAACTTTATTGGTACTTCAGGTTTGTTGGAGAGGGCCAGCTCAACTATCCATATCCTTGTTCTTCAAATTTTGCCTTGCAAATGGCCATCTTTTATGATTGTGGTCACCTTCAGCTTCAGTTGGATCTTGGCTAACGGAAAGCAGTGGTATGATTCTGTGCTAGCATCTTAACAAGTCCTGACATCTTATAGGGATGGCTTACATACAATAGTTTGTAGTCAATCCTGTTCAGTTTTTTGTTGTCTGGTGACCTCCATGTCACTTGTGGATGACCTGTGTTTGGCTAAGGTGTTACCAATGCCGAATATGTTGATGCTTTAAAAGGCCAACAGATGTTTTTGAAATGAGTGGGCTTGTTGACCCATAGAACTCGATTTACTGTTCCGTTCTTGCTGGTTGTCGTCGAGCTTAGCACTGAGGTTACTGATCAATAGCTTGAGTTGGGTATCTGGTCCAGCCTGTCCTGCAGTCAGTTGGTAAAATTCTTCCTCCTATGTGTCTTCACACTGTGGTGCTTAAACATGCACAACCGTGACTTTTCATGCCCTGTGATACAGTAGTTTACTGATGTCCATATTACTGTTGTTATCTGTCAACTGAGACCAGTTCAATGGGTGCGGTGTTGGTGTGAAATACAGGATCTTCATGCCGTCATAGATAGTTTGTCCTTGGTCTGTCTGCCACTTCCCAGTTGCTGAAAATGCCAAGTCGGTAAGCTCTCATTTTACACAGCACCTGGTCTATTATCCCACAGTGCCAGAGTATTTGGATGTTTTAAATGCCAGTTCTGATAGCTTTGATGTTGAAGATTGAGGCTGTCAGAGGTTGGACTTCTCTTGACTTTTTTGAGCTAATCCTGCCGTGCGTATATCTTGAGATGTACAGTCCTTTCTTTGGTGTTGGCCAGTACGGGCACTGCTTGCTGTTTCTTTAGTGGTAATGGGTTTTTGCAGAGCACGGGTGCAGACCTTCTGCCTAACACTCCTTTTCTAGCCTGCTTGGAACCAGCTTTGGATTTTTTGCAACATTTAGAGCCCTTGCTTTCCCCAATCTTGCCCACTTTTTTTTTTTTTAAAAGATGCACCTTACAGTACCTACTTTTTTTTACTTTTAAAAATGTTTTGCCTATCATGAGTGTGAAAACATAAAAAATATAGTCATTGTCAATGGAAGTGGCCATGGGTTTGGAAGGTGCTGTCTAAGGAGCTTTGATGAATCTTGTAGATGGTATACACGCACATCATACTGAGCACCAATAATGGAGAGAGTGGATGTGGTACCAATCAAGTGGATTTCTTTGTCCGCTGATGTGAAGCATCTTGAGTGGTGTTGGACTTGTACCCATCCAGGCAAGTGGGGACCATTCCATCACATGCCTGACTTGTTCCTTTCAGATGGTGGACAAGCTTTGGAGAGTCAGGCAGTGAGTTATGTGCTGCAGTATTCCTCGTCTATGACCTGCTGTTTGTAGGCAGTGTATTTATACTGATGGTCCACTTCGGTTTCTGGTCAATGGTGACCCCTAGAATGTTCATTTAACAGGGTAGGTGGTGGGCAAGAACAATCTGTACCTCCTTCAGCTTTGAAGAAGTGATATTGAACTTGAAACTTTAACTCTGTTTCTCTGTCCATAGATGCTGCTGCACTTGCTGAGTTCCTCCAACACTCTTTGTTTTTGGAATTCCTTACTGTTCATTTGGATACTTGCAATGAATTCTCTGGCATGAAGAGCTGTTTTGAATCCTGCATCACTGCATAGCTTCCTTTGTCAAGAATGATTAAGCTTTTGCTTCCATTTCAGTTGGCAACAAGAATGATGACCCAGCTCGTAAAGTGGTGGAGACCAATGATGCACAGAAGTTTGCAGAACAGATGGGCATTCAGCTTTTTGAAACTAGTGCAAAAGAGAACCTCAACGTTGAAGAGGTAAGCTCCTCTGTGATGGGGTTTGGTGAATGTTAGTTTACTTTGTCTGCTGTCCTTTGTCATGTTCAACTCGTGTGCGTCAGGCTCATGGTCTCTATTTCTTTTCAGATGTTCAACTGCATCACGGAGCTAGTTCTGCGGGCCAAGAAAGAGAACTTAGCCAAACAGCAGCAACAGCAGCAGAATGATGTCATCAAACTATCTAAAAATAGTAAAAAGAAGAGAAAGTGTTGCTAATGAGGAACAACAAAAAAAGACTTCTTTGGAATGAACAGTCCCTTTCACTTGGACTTGTATATCATGAAGTCAAAAATGGACATTTTCTTTCCACACACAACCCCCCCACCCTATACCCAATTCCAGGCTGGAAGGATAACGTACAACAGCAGATGTGGGATCTTGCTGACTTAGTGGTTTTGCTCCCAGATTTCAGCTTCTGAATTATTTTTCGCCCCAAATGAAAGTGACCGAGCCGATGTAGCTCAGTGCCAAGATTGGATTAGATCGTCTCATTCCAGTTTGATTTGTGTGGATGTCTCAAAGATCGAATGAATTGTCTCACCCACAAGTTTTAAAAACTCTGCACATGATGTATACCTTTCAGCTTCTAATGCCACCCTGTTTTCATCGACGCTTTGCCTAATACTTGTAGATGCCAAGAAATCATGAACCACTTTCGTTCTTCTCTTTTTTTTTATTTTTAAGAAAGCTGAATTCTTTGAATCAAGCTACTGACTAACTTGACATAACGTCATTTGCTCCTTCCATTCCTTTATTGTTCCCACTGTATTGGATTCCCCTTCACATTATCTGATTTATAGTTTGTGTTTGGGGCTGATGGTTGCGGGGGGAGAGGTTAAGCTAACTATCGTGAAGAGATGAAAGGGCAAGGGCTCACCACTGGACTAGGTATTTTATGAATGGTATTCAAGAGCCCCTTTTTGCTTTTGAATTCTTTTACCATCAATTAACTAGCTATTCTGCTGTTTATACCTAAAGTGGGTCCAGAAATTTTGGTTAGCATTTATCTTGTGTGGAATAGTAACTAGCTTGTTCTATAACAGGTGGGGAGGGGAATAAACTGGGGTTGGGTGGGGGAATGACATTGAAATGAAAAAGGCAGTGTGAATGAACAGTGGTTTTTAAAAAGCCTGTTGATCATGTACGTTAACTTGGCATGTGTTTAATCCTCAGTCCTTCAGCCTGGAAGACAGGTGATTGATTGATTGATTTGTGATGGTGTCTCACTGCAAACAGCACAATATCCAAGTCCTACAACGCAATAAGTACACATATTACAAAGTGGGGGTTATTGCATATTGGAAGGCGTAAATTTCTTCTCTAGCTTGTCCACTGCTTTTTCACCACCAGAACAAGAGTTTGTACCTAGGCCACATGGCTGGAGTCAAAATTTGCGCTGCCTGAGGGGCCTTGTGTGGAGAGATTTCTGGCAGCCCCAATTCACACTCCAATGATCAAGCCCCACTACTTCTTCAGTTTGGCAGCTGGAGCCTGTGAAACCACCAGTTGGTGGGAAATAGCTACAATCGCCACCTTTACTGTTACCAGATTTCAAAGTGCTTGGGGGAGAAATATGGAGAGCTGTACTTTGTTTCCAACCTGATCTGTTTAATGTTGACACAGGTGCCTGAAAGGAAAGTCATGTTTCCCCAGCACTAATATTTAATAGCTTTGAACACAACACCCCACAAAATACACAATGGCCCATCACCTGATCTGTGTGGAAAAAGTAGTTGATCCTACTGGGGAGGTGGATGAACACTGGATTTGAGTTCAGTGCAATCTGGATGGGTGAAATCTGCAGCACAAAACTGCCCAAAATTGAGTGCTAATTATTATTAAATGAAAAGTCTTGTGTCATGTGGTTTGCCAGTGTGGGGAATGGAGAGGGTTGTCTGGTGGGAGAATGAAGCCTCATTGGTCATTGCACTGGGAGTTCTACCTTGGTTCAAAACTGTGTACCTGACCAGGCAAGTACTTGATTGGGAATAGTGGATGCCAATTTTTTTAACAGGCTGTTGAATAAAAGCAACTTAAATAACTATTATTTTAAAGATTACCGTTTACTGACAGTTTTAAAGAAAATGTACTCTTTATTTGTGTACAAGGTGGACATTACATCAAGAGAAGACCTACTTTGCAAGGTGTTATTGTGGAATCCCTTCTGTTCAAAGGTGTATCTTAATATCTGAAATCTTGTGGCATTTGGTTATGCAACTGTTCGTAATGACAATTATGTATTAAAACACAGAAATTGTTGCAAAATGTGGTGCCAGCTGCAATTTTGTATGTTTGTCACATACCCATAATGTGCCACAGGCACAAGATGTGTTCACCTCTCTGCACGTGCACTTCCTGTATGCGTAGCTTCCATCCACACAAGATGTTTTTCCTTGTGTTTGCCATCATACTTGATTATGGGAGCCTGCAAATTTCCTTCAACTTGCTTTGTACCTTTTTCTATGGTTATTTGCCCAAAGTGAGAGATACCTGGGAAAGTGCAACAGTGAATTTGTTGCTAAATGTCTGAAATTTTGGGTACTAAATTCCTTAGCTGCAGTGCTGTGGCCATACTTGGGCATCATGCTTTAGGAAGGACAACTGTCTTTGAACTTTTGCAGAGAATAATGCCTGGGTAAAAGGTTCTATTTATTTTTGCGGAGAAAGTAGACAAAACTCTCAAGTGGCTCTCATTTTGAGCAGAGAGGTGAACTGAAGATTTACCCTTCATGATTTCTTGAACATTATAAGGTGGCAGAAGATTTGGTAATCACAGCACAGATTGACTTTAATTGATTAAAGAACATTGAGGTGATTAGAAGAGAAAAGAAAATTGACAGCATTGTAATCTGAATTACACTATCTGAAGGAGCGATGAATGCAGTGTAATAAACTTGAGTAAATAATTGGAAATGGAAAAATAACAAGGCTTTGGGGGAATCAGCAGCAGACCAAGATTAATTGAATCACTCATAAAGCTGGCACAGGAATAATGGGCCAAATGGCAGCCTCCTGTGCTGCATCATTCTATAATTTTCTTGAAGTAATGCAGGGTTACAGGAATAAGGTAGGGGAATGGGTTGGGTGGAATGTTTTTTGGAAGGTTGGTGTGGAGTCTGGGCTGAATGGCCTGCTTCCACACTGGGGCTTCTGTGATTCAAAGGTCTTGTACATGAGGACCAAGTGTGCACATCTTGCTCCTGTCTTAAGTGGCTGGTACACAAACTTAGAAAACATGGATGCATTGTTTGTGTACCTATGTATCTTTTTATTGATGAGTTCTCTTGTGGTGCAGTGGTAATGTACCTACCTCTGAGCCAGAAGGCCCAGTTTCAGTCCCACCTGTTCCAGAGGTGTCCTAGCTCATGGAAACAGTTTGATTTTTAAAAATCTATCCTCTTTATTGATACCTTGCATGTTCTTGCACTCCAACCTTATTTGACTTGTGCATATACACAAAGAATGAATGTATCTTATGTATGTGTTCCCAATTCATGGTTGTGAGCATTCCTAGTTTCTGTATTTGCACGTGTGGATGTGTACATGCATGCTAGAAACTTTGTTAACTGAAGCCTTTTGTTTATGTCTGTGTTTATATTGTCATTAACACCTGTATAGATGCCTTGCACTTAAGCTATATCTTGTTTCAGTGATTCCTTTGAGCTGTGTGCGTTTGTAGCAATCGTGTGCACAGGCTGCTCACAAACATTCCCCCTCAGGTATAGCCCAAAAAAAAATGCATTTATGAATTGACATGCACTGCATACAACAAAACATTTTGAGGATTGCAGTTCTTTGCATATTCGTAGAATCCTAGAATCCCTACAGTGTGGAAACAGGCCCTTCGGCCCAACAAGTCCACATCGAACCTCCAGAGCATCCCACCCAGACCCAGACCCAGACCCAGACCCATCCCCCTATAACGCACCTAATCTACATCTCCCTGAACACTATGGGCAATTTAGCATGGCCAATCCACCTAACCTGCACATCTTTGGACTGTGGGAGGAAACCCACGCAGACACGGGGAGAATATGCAAACTCCACACAGACAGTCGCTCGAGGCTGGAATCAAACCCGGGTCCCTGGCGCTGTGAGGTAGCAGTGCTAACCACTGTGCCACCATGCCGCCCGTTTTGTCTGTATCCAATGGTGCAGCTGGAGCATGTTCTTAACTTACTCCTTTTAATTCATTCAGGATATGTAAGCATTGCTGGCTGATCCAGGATTTATTCCCATTATGAGTTGCCCTTGCAGGACGTAGCTGCATGGAATTTGTGTTGAAGCTACACGTTTACTTGTTCCTGTGTATGGGACTTGTATGATGGTCAGATTTGCAACTACTTTTGAGTGTGCGTGTGGTTTTGCAATTGTCTGTAGTTCTTTCTAAACGTAGAGTGCTTTTCATGTAAATGAATCCTTATTTCAAGCATCTGTCATTTCTGTACTTATCACTATATTCTGGATGTATTGTGAGCCCACAAGATATTCGTGGACTCCAGATTGTGGCTGGTTGTTAATTGCACTTTGACATCTATTAACAATGACATAGAAAGGAAAATCATCTATTTACAAGTACAGATCCCACTGTCTACAGCAGGTATGTTGAAGTAAACACCCAAATTAACATTGTATGCTATGAGTATAACATTTGATAGACTTTCAGGTGAGTTCCTAAAATAATTCTTGTGTTGCCACTTTAAGTGAGGAATATTACTAAAGGTCCATGACTCTCTCAAGCAACTTGCTCACAAACGCTGCTATTTAATTTCAAAGTTCCTGAACTATTACTATTTGTGACTGTCAGTTTTCAAGAAATTGAACAGTTAGTAAAGGATGTGTCACAAGCAATGCCAGCTGACAAACATTTGGTCTAAAAAGTGTCCATCTCCTCTTGATGCACTATTTTTAAACTAATTAAACCAATGCTGCAGGACCTAGTGGTGGGTGGATGGAGGTGAAAGCTGATGTCCACTAAATTGATTGGAATAGCCTTAAAACAGTTTAAGCAATGTTATGATAATTAACACCTAGGTAATGATGAATGGTTAGCACAGTTTGCCTGCCACCTGTCTGGAACAAACAAGGGCAGTGTAAGTGCTATTGACTGTTTGTCTTGCTTAAATGTGCTTTGGTTAAAATTGCATGTTCCCTCCAGAACTGTACGTGCAGCACTCGGGTGCTGATATGTATCATTGGAAAATGTGCATATTTCTTTTGTATTGTCAAGTTTCTTGGTGTTTTTCCTGTCAGCATGCTATGCAAGTATGTCTAATTTGTTTCATCGCTTTTGTTTTTAGGTAGGCTTAAATCTTTGTTTATTTTCACCTAAGACCCACACCAGGTTTAAAACTTCTGTATACTGCGTGCATCGCTTTATGGGGCTTTCATGAGTTGTTGGTGTCTCTTGGCTATTGACATCTTGCTCAACTGATAACTTGTACTGCTGCTGGGAGTGGATGGTAATTGCAATATAACGGGTACATTAACTTGGAAGTGCATGGGCACAGTTTGACTTGAGTCACTTTGGACAGTTATCTAGAATTATACAGCAATCCCCACACATTCAGCTTATGTAACCCTGTGTCTGTGCACCAATCTTCGTTGTGTGCATGTACCTTAACTGTGCATTTTGTATTTGATTCCTTTTCTTATTTACTGATGGAATGTGGGCACCGTTGTCCAGCATTTGTTGTCCAGCATTTGTTGTCCAGCATTTGTTGT